ATGCATTCTTGAGGTTACTAATGCATGGACTATATTTATCCTGATCTAGATATGGATGGACATAGCTGGTATATCAGGTGAAACTGGCAAAAGACACTCGTAGCCACTGAGATTAAGGGGTGATATGATAGCCATGTTCAAATATATAAAAGGATGTCACATAGAGGAGGGAGAAAGGTTGTTTTCTGCTGCTCCAGAGAAGCGGACACGGAGCAATGGATCCAAACTACAAGAAAGAAGATTCCGCCTAAACATTAGGAAGAACTTCCTGACAGTAAGAGCTGTTCGACAGTGGAATTTGCTGCCAAGGAGTGTGGTGGAGTCTCCTTCTTTGGAGGTCTTTAAGCAGAGGCTTGACAACCATATGTCAGGAGTGCTCTGATGGTGTTTCCTGCTTGGCAGGGGGTTGGACTCGATGGCCCTTGTGGTCTCTTCCAACTCTATGATTCTATGATTCTAGGTCTTCTAATGGCAAGGATGTGCCCAGGAGCTACATACCTGCTCCTTTGAAGGGTGTGCAATCCCACTCAGAACAAGCAAATGGCCCATCTTCCAGATAAGGGAACTACCTACCCACAAAACCTCCATATAAAACAGATTCCTATGTTTCTAAGGCAGCATCCCGGAGATGCAAGAGCAGCCAGTACAAAAGGAAACTGGGTAAGAGAAATAAAATACATAAAATCCTTTTAATTTGAATTCAGTCAGGATGGTGATGGGTCTGTCTCCGGAGGAGCAGGTGAAAGAGCTGGGTACGTTTAGCCTGGAGGAGAGAAGATTAAGTGGAGAACTGATAGCTGCCTTCAAATATCTGGAGAGCTGTCATGCAGAAGATGGAGTGGGCTTGATCTCTGTTGTTCCAGAAGGCAGGCTAGAAGAGATGGTTGAAATTGCAGGGAATACGTTTTCAGCTGAGCATTTGGAGAAGATTCCTAGTGATAAGAGTTATTCTATAGGACAGAGGTAGGGAGCCTCAGACCCAAAAACCAAATGTGGCCCTATTTTTCTATAGCCTTCAGAGCCTTTCCCAGTCCACACCCCTTTCCTATGCCCTTCAGGGTCCCTGCTCTGCTCTGTCCATGAATGCTTTTTGCCTGGATGGAATATGTAGTAATGTTTCGTACCTGGATGGAGGCTGAGGTCTCTGGTGTCATGTTGGAGAACCCTACGATGATAATTCTGGATGACTTCAACATCCACACAGAGGCTGTCATTGGGCAGGCGTGAGACTTCATGGCGTCCATGACAACTTTTGGGCTGTCTCAAATGGTCATTGATCCAACACCAGACTACCCTTGATGTTGTCTTTACCCCAAATGATATGAGAGATGGAGTAGAATTACATGTACTCCCTTGCCATGGTTGGACCATTATCTGTCAAAGTTTGGAGAGGTAGCAGCAATTCCCCCCTATAAGGGTGAGGGCCCATTTGGATGACCCACTCCCAGAGACTGGTGGAACCTGATGTATTCCTGCATGCTCTGGGGGGTTTTGCAACAGAGAAAGCTGATGATCCCATCAAAGTCCTGTTCTTGCTATGAAATGGGAAGATGAAATGGGAAGATGACACTCTCTCTTGAGCACCCTCTCTTGTGGAATCCAAGTGGCTCCTTGGTATTTGGGGGAGCGTTGGGCTATGAAGCAAGCTGGACAAAGACCAGAGCATAAGTGGCATGAGTCTCGCACCAAAGCAGACTGAACATTGGTTAGCGCACATAAGATTGTCCACCATGTGCAGGGATCATTTATCTCTCTTGTGTTCTGCTTTCAAACATTTAAAGGTAAAGGTACCCCTGCCCGTACGGGCCAGTCTTGACAGACTCTAGGGTTGTGCGCCCATCTCACTCAAGAGGCCGGGGGCCAGCGCTGTCCGGAGACACTTCCGGGTCACGTGGCCAGCGTGACATCGCTGCTCTGGCGAGCCAGAGCCGCACATAGAAACGCCATTTACCTTCCCGCCAGTAAGCGGTCCCTTTTATCTACTTGCACCCGGGGGTGCTTTCGAACTGCTAGGTTGGCAGGCGCTGGGACCGAGCAACGGGAGCGCACCCCGCCGCGGGGATTCGAACCACCGACCTTTCGATCGGCAAGCCCTAGGCGCTGAGGCTTTTACCCACAGCCCCACCTGCGTCTCCATTCAGACATTTGGGGGCCCTTAATTCACATGGAGAGTTCAGCGTCCTAGACCCTTCTAGCCCACACTGAAGAAATAGGAGAAATACTATTAGCTACATATAAAATGGAGAAAGTTTGGTACACTATTTACTTGGGAGCAGCATGGTCTTCCCTCACCATCTCTCTTCCTTGTTTCCTCAAAGTTACCCAAGAATTTTCTCTTCCTTTGGGGACCCACAGAGTTCTAGGATTCTTTCCAAGTGCCAAAAAGCATTTTGATAGAGGCAATCCAACAGACCATTGATGGAGGACCTGTGACTTTCCAGTTATTGCTGGACTGCATCTTCAATCAGTCCTCATCATTGACTATGTTGGCCAAGGCTGATGAAAGTTACAGTCCAACAACATCTGGAGGTTCACAAGTTGCCCATCCCTGTGGTAGATGTTATGTTTTTGGCCAAGTCCCTCACCAAAGGGAGTGAAATTAGCAGTCATGGAATAAGACAACAGGACCTTTTATGAAATGGTGACTGGTTAAAAGCAGAAGGTTGGAATCAATAGGGAAATGGGGTGTTGAGTTTGAGGGGGAGCATTTTTTTCCACCCTTCTAAATTTCCATGTAAAGCCAGAATTGGGGCCTTTGTGGATTGGATTGGTGACCATGCAGCTTGCAAATGCATGGCTTGCAAATGCATTGCGTATGCACTGACACACAGCCTCCAGTTCCCAGAGCACACACAACCCACACAAATGAGGGCAGTGTGTAATTCAGGCAAGTAGTTTTAGAAGATTTAAATCAGAATTTTAAAAAGATTTGCCATCTCAGCTGGAGGGTTTGGTTTGGGGCTTTCCTTTTGCGATTTCTATGAAACGGTGGTTGCACTGGTGCATTGATCCAGAGAAGAAAAGCTATTTGTTTCCAGGGTATACTCCCAGTGGTTAATACTTCCTGTGGTTTGGGTCTAAAGATGCTTGAGCAAAAACAACTACTGCAAAATGTGTAAACAGGAGCTTCAGGACCATCAGTTTGTGGCCGGGGGAGTGAGGGTATGTGCAGAATTTTAACATCTCCGTAACGAACGTTTCCACATGGAAGGTAATTAAAAGATTTTGTTGGAGCGGGACTGAGCAATGTTTAAATTAGATTGAGGCTTTTAATCAAGACGGCTAATTTGAACAACATCAGACTCTAGAGAGTGGGAAAAGGAATGATCAGTTTCTGTCCTGCATCTCTTAGACCTGATGCCTGCAACTGTCTTCTCCCTGATAACCCATCATGGCTGCCGGAAAATGGGGAACAGGTAGACCGAGCCAGTGGAAGGGCAATGATCTGGGAGACTTGGGGGAGGAAAACAAAATAACTGGGAGGAAGGAAACAGCAGGGGAGAGAAAGTGGGGTGGCACAGAAGATAGGAAGGAGAGAGGCATGTTCCTGCACACACATTGGATCCAGTAAAATTGAACTTTCATATTTCTGCCCCCCCCGAAGTTGATTCCCCAAATTTCCATCAGATCACAGATCACATTTGTCTCTTTTGATTGAGCTGTAAAAATAGTGGACTTTCTGCCTTCCAGCACTGTCATTGCTCAAAAATATTCTTATGCATCCTTGTAACCATATCAAAACATAGTTCATTCCTATGAGAGCCAGTGTGGTGTAGTGGTTAAGAGCGGTAGACTTGTAATCTGGGGAACCGGGTTCGCGTCTCCGCTCCTCCACATGCAGCTGCTGGGTGACCTTGGGCTAGTCACACTTTTCTGAAGTCTCTCAGCCCCACTCACCTCACAGAGTGTTTGTTGTGGGGGAGGAAGGGAAAGGAGAATGTTAGCCGCTTTGAGACTCCTGAAGGGGAGTGAAAGGCGGGATATCAAATCCAAACTACTCCTCCTCCTCCTCCTCCTCCTCCTCCTCCTTCTTCTTCTTCTTCCTCCTCCTCCTCCTCCTCCTCCTCCTCCTTCTTCTTCTTCCTGCCTTCACACATGTGTCCTATGATTTGTTGATGGTTTTATTGTCCTGCGTAAAAAAACCCATGAAGATCCATGAGATCTATGCCCTAGATCAACATTTCTGTGGCTTTAAGCTCAATCAAAATTAAGCAAAATAGAATTAAGCAGCCTCCATTAAGCCTGGTCCTTTCTTTAGGCAGAGTGAGGCAGCTTCCTCAAGCAGCTGATTTTGAGTGTCGCGAGAGGGCAGCAAAAAGTTGTTTTTTATTGTAGATTTGTCTCCCAGGGAAAGGCATTTGTGAGCTTTTTCTGGCGCAGATGCCAACATAACTTGGCCAGCTTATAGCACTCGACACTGATTGCGTGGTGAGAATCATTTAGATTTTCACATCTGATATCTATCATTGTTTAGGCCAGCCTTGAGAACAGTAGAACATAGTACAGAAAATAGCAGCACTAAAATAGCAGCTTTAATGCAACCCCTACAACCAGCAGGTTGTTAATAATGAAAAAAGCTTACCAAACTGGTGGACTACGCCAAAATGGCAAAGCTGACTGGAAACCTCAGGAACCAAGAGGACAAAAACTTTAAAAAAGAATTGAAAAAAAAATATCATTTACTTAGGGGAACCACTGTAAGCAGATGAAAACATTAGCAGGATTTTAACTTCACTTGTAATGTAACAAATACTATGGATAATATGGATGAATACAAAATACAGATTATGAAATAAGATGTAGCTGAAAATGTTGACAATAGGAGGGGATGGGGGGAAGATTGAGATTCAGAGAAATCTCTTTATACGGATAGCTATTTGGTATTGATATAAACTTATATTTGTAAAATCCAATAAAAATGATTTCAAAATAAATGAACAAACAACCATGCAGATAGTTTTTTAAAAAATGAAAAAAGCTTGATTTCGTTTTCTGAAAAGATCTTCAGTAGATGCCTAGAGACAAAAAGAGGGGAAGCCTGGTGATTCTCCATCAGGAGGACATTCCACGGTGCCACCACTGAAAAGGCCCAGCGTCTTGCAGCTGTCCATGACATCTCACATAGCAATGGGACAGAAGGTAAGGCTATTGATTTCAGTGTTCATATGAACCATATAATATCAGATGTGTCATCAAATATGGTGTCTAGCCTTCTTTATTCAAGGATGTGGCCCTCTAGCCCTTTCTACCTGGTCCTCAGGATTCACCCCAGGTCACTCCCACTCCTCAGACATACCCCTTATCCCCAGGGCCACACCCCTCATTGGTGCTGCTTCCCACCCTCAGCTGTTTTTGCCTGGCTGGAATGTGCCCTTGAACTCTTTTTTTAAAAAAATAATTATTAAATTTTATTAGATGTTACAAAAAAAATATAGGAACAATACATAACCAATCATAAAAACATATAGCTACACAATTTTCCAGAATGCAGACTAGAAAAGAAGAAAGATGAAAAATAGAAGAAAGAGACAAAAGAAAGAAAGAAGAAGAATGAAGAGAAAAAATACTTTTCATAATAAATATCATACTTCAAACATTACAATATATAAATCCTAGTTAAAATATTATAAAAGACTTCCACAGCATTCGCCACACGTCTCTTGGTTATCTAATTCACCTTTACATCTGTTCTTCAGTCACTTCCTTTCCTTAAGTTCTTTCATAGTCCATCTAATCTTTGTATTCTCTGTACTCTTCACAAGGTTAGTCTAAGCACAACCAAACTTTCGTGTTTGATCCCTGTTTGTGTAAATATTCATTTAAGCATTCCCATTGTTTCTGTACCATAGTTTTAGATTTATGCCTTATTATATCCGTCAATTTTGGTAACTCCAGATATTCACACCAGATATGCCCTTGAACTCTGATGATGATCACAGCTAATTTATTAATTGCCTTCTAAACCGCCATCTGAAGGCGATTCACACAGAGGATCATCATAAGCGGTTAAAAATTCAAAACACAACATATACATTTAAAAACTGACAAAAACCTCTGGGAGGTGTGTAGAGAGAAGAAATGTCAAGGTGCGTCTGCAACAGCACAATCGGATGTCTTTTTTTCTTTTTCTTTTTTGCATACATGATTTTTATTAATTTATACCATAACAAATAAAACTAAAACAGTCTACATCTTGTTATCACAGATTTCTTTCTTTAGGACTTCCTTCAGCCTCTCCACAAATCCTCCGTAGTCTTTCCAAAAGAAAAATTCGCATACCCTACTATCTATTCTATTGACATTGTTAGAATCCTTTCCACCATTTCTCTTTAGACAATATTCTTACTTTCTTCACAGAGCTCTTTTAAACCCCACTAGCATTATCTGTCCCTCACTTATATTATCCAGATACTCCACAAATTTCCCCCAGTCATCAATGAACCTTTGGTCTCTTAAATATCTGATTTTCATCTGCCCCGGCTGCAACAAAACATGTCTCTCCCAAAACATGTCTCTACAGCCACAGCAGGCGCTGTAACTCTCCATTGGTTCAGTTTCAAACTCTGTAGGCATGTGCCAATAGGTAAAGTGTTTGCTAGCCATTTACAGAAAGCTTAGAGTACCAACTCATAATGTATTAACAGGTGGTTTTCTTCCTTTCAAGAAAGAGACATGTGAATTGTTCCCTCAGATCTTCCCTGCCTCTTCTTTCTTATCTTAAGTGACCCAGCTACCAATGGCTGCCAAGCTTTATGTTCTCATCAGCTGGCCGGACGGAAGCCGTGTTATCAACATTGAAAACATCAAGGAACCACGGAAACCTTTCCACCTCTATGAGGCTGGGGAGCAAGTTTTGGCCCGATGCCCAGGCTTCAGTGGTCTGTATTGGGGAATCGTGGAAGGAATAAGCGGTAAGCAGACCTCACTATATAGCTACGTTTTTGTAATAACAAACAAACAAACAAACAAACACACTTCCATTAATGGGTGGGTTTTATGGAGTTACTGCTTTGAAAATTAGTTCTATTTGCTCTCCAAGATCTCAGAAGTTCCTCCGTTGATCTGCTCAAAGAGGAAAGAACCCCAAAACTTTGAAACTCTTTTTCCAGGTCTTATCAACTTTGAACAGCTCAGGACTCTCAACAGGACATCCTGTGCCCATAAGGGATCAAAGGATGGCATCCACTAGGGATGCAGGATGTGTTTGGTTTTAGCAATTTGCAGCATGTGAACCACAGCACAACTATTTTTCAAAATCTGCACTTCTCCAAGCATTGCAATGCTGTTCTCCAGCACAAATAAAGGTAAAGGGACCCCTGACCATTAGGTCCAGTCGTGACCGACTCTGGGGTTGCGGCGCTCATCTCGCTTTATTGGCCGAGGGAGCCGGCAAACAGCTTCCAGGTCATGTGGCCAGCATGACTAAGCCGCTTCTGGCGAACCAGAGCAGCGCACGGAAACCCCGTTTACCTTCCCGCCGGAGCGGTACCTATTTATCTACTTGCACTTTGAGGTGCTTTCGAACTGCTAGGTTGGCAGGAGCAGGGAGCAAGCAACGGGAGCTCACCCCGCCGCGGGGATTCGAACTGCCGACCTTCTGATCGGGAAGTCCTAGGCTCTGTGATTTAACCCACAAAAATAGGGAACAAAAAATGTGCACATTAAGTGAAAGTGTGCAGAACTGGATGGCAGTGTGCTTAGAGTGTTGGGCTCGGACCTGGGAGACCAGAGTTCGAATCCACACTCAGCCATGAAGCTCACTGGGTGACTTTGGGCCAGTCCCTGCCTCTCAGCCTAACCTGCTTCACGCCTTGAGCCATCTTCAGTTCCTTGGAGGAAAGGCACGATGTGAATGTAGTAATACACGTGTTGATATAAATAGCATACAAAATTCATTATATCAGGGGAAAATTGCTTGCAAAAATAGATATATTAGGGAATATGAGGACAAAAATACTGATTTTTTTAAATATTACGAACATGTGCAAACGTGGTGAACTGAGCTTAAGTCTGGAAAAAATGGAGAGATCTCCATCTAAGAGATTTGTGCATCCCTTACATCCACAACACAGCTTGACTAACAACCAGCATTCACTGCCGGTCCAGAAAAGTGTGGCTCCGTCTCTCCACAATTAATCAAATGTTTTTTGCTTCCCTCAAAATCTGAGTAGAAATTTCCTAATTTATCCTTGAAGATAACTAGTGTCACGGATCAATTTAAAATGGTGGTCCTGTACAAATGTACTTGGGAATAAGTCCTGTTGGACCTGGTAGGACTTCTTCTTGTTGTTTAGTCGTGTCCGCCTCTTCGTGACCCCCTGGACCAGAGCACGCCAGGCACTCCTGTCTTCCACTGCCTCCCACAGTTTGGTCAAACTCATGCTGGTAGCTTCAAGAACACTGTCCAACCATCTCCTCCTCTTTCGTTCCCTTCTCCTTGTGCCCTCCATCTTTCCCAACATCAGGGTCTTTTCCAGGGAGTCTTCTCTTCTCATGAAGTGGCCAAAGTATTGGAGCCTCAGCTTCAGGATCTGTCCTTCCAGTAAGCACTCAGGGCTGATTTCCTTCAGAGAGGTTTGATCTTCTTGCAGTCCATGGGACTCTCAAGAGTCTCCTCCAGCACCGTAATTCAAAAGCATCAATTCTTTGGCGATCAGCCTTCTTTATGGTCCAGCTCTCACTTCCATACATCACTACTGGGGAAATGATAGCTTTAACCTGGTAGGACTTACTTCCAAGTAAATATCCATTAAAGCTGGGCTGCAGAAGACCAACCATGAACCAGATCAGGAGGTTCTTAGTTCAAATCTTGCCATTGCTATGAGCTCATTGGATGGGCCTTTGGAAAACCTCTGTCTCTTGACTGCAGTCTGCTCATCTGCAAAATGGGCAGAATTCATGGCTGTTTTGAGGAATGCTGAAACAATGAATTGATCCAGTGAAATCACTGTACATATGGAACTTCCCTTCCTTATCATTCTCCCTGTGACCTCAATCAACCAGAAATCTGCACCAATGAAGTAAGAAAACCCTCAGAACAGATTTGGGGGTGGGGTGGGCTTGTAGAGGTGCACCGAAGGCCAGGGGTGGCGGTGCAGAGAAAAAGGGGAAGTTTTGTTGGGCAAGCCAGAATTAAGCTCATGCAATGACTTGGAATCAATACACTGTATATGAATTGCCTTGAGTATTCCAAAGCATTAAGTCAATGGCATGTATTATTGTTGTCAAAATTTTGTATTGGGCAAAAGTTGATGACAGTTCCACAGCACAGTGGGATGGATTTGCCTGCAACCCTCGTGGAGGTGAAAAATGAACATTAAAAGGCCTTTCTTCCAACAGAGCATAAATATATCCTGGAGAAAAAGCTACAAGAGGATAAAGAACTGCTGGAGATGTTGGGTAAGCAGAGTCCCTAATTGTGCAGCAGGGGCTCAGGGCAGTCCAGTATTCAATTTTCAAAACATAATTCAAAAAGGATCTAAATTATTATGGTTCCAAAACTTCCTTCTGCATTTCCCCTACCCTTCTATACCAATAAATGAGAACAGATATTGCACTTGAAAATTGTATCAAAGGGGAGAGATACTGATCATGAAATGCTTGTAGATGGGGCATCCCTACCTTACTTCCGAGGTGGCCAAAAGACTTTTGTGGCTGTCCTCTATTTCATCCCACAAATCATCTCATTCTGCAGCCTCCCTGGGTGCCTGCACTTCCTCAAAATCCCATGCTATTTTTGGTTGAGCTTCCCTATAAGCATGGGGAGATGGGGAGGCTGCCTACCATGCTCCTGACAGTATGAAGGGGAAGGGGAATAGATTTAGTTCCTAATAATAATAATAATAATAATAATAATAATAATAATAATAATTTTATTATTTATACCCTGCCCATCTGGTCGGATTTCCTCAGCCACTCTTGGCGGCTCCCAACAGAATGAAACTTCAAGCATTAAAAAATTCCCTAAACAGGGACTTAAATGTGGACTTACTGAATTTGCTCTTTTCAAAACGAATATGTGAACCGAAACACAGCCTTCAAAATTCAGTGCAATTCTCTGGCCAAGAAATGTCTACAAGCATGCAGATACTTGGCTAATTTTTGCATATAAATGCATATAGTAGTGGAAATAATATACAAAAATGCATTTAATGGGAGAAAATGGCCTTGAAGAAATGTGTATATTAAGAAAAGCACACACTAAAATGCTGATGAATTTTCATGAGGACTTTTCTAATCACAAACTGAAGTGGAATAGGGAGAAGTGAATTTAAGTCTGGAAAAATGAGAAACTGGGAGAAACTAAAACTGGCATCTCTACCTGACAGCTGTGAACTGTTGTTTTTTAAAAGAGGAAGTCAGTTTCCTTTGAAGAAAAATCAGCAAGCACACAAATGTCAGACACTTGTTACCCAGCCTTCCCACTTTCCTATAACTGAGATAAACTGGGGAAGATAACTCTTCCTTTGGCTTCTTTTTCATATCAGGAAGTGTGGGCAGCTAGGGAGGCTGCAGAGCTCTAGAGAAATGTCTAATGGAAAGAAAACACACACACACACACACACACAAACAAACAAACACAAACACAAACACGTAGTGTGATGGTCAGAGTGTTGGACCAGGACCTAGGAGACCGGGGTTCTGGTCTCCACTCAGCCATGAAGCTCACTGGGTGACCTTGGGCCAGGCACTGTCTCTCAGCTTAACCAACCTCACAATTTTGTTGCAAGGATAAATTGGGGAGCAAGAGAAGCATGTACACCTTGGAGGAAAGGTAGAGTGCACATGTAATAATCAGTAAATGTTCTTCCTGACCCCTCTCACACATGCTGCTCTGTACTTGTGGAATGCTTGCTGGGCAGCTGGTCCTGCTACTGCCAGTCTGCAATGACAATATTTAGCTAGATCAACCAATGCTCTGACTAGGTGTAAGATACCATCCTACATTCCTAAAAAGTTTAGGTAGCAGATGCTGTAAAAGTTCCCTGCTCATGTTCCTGGAAGGCCACTGCCCATCACAGTAGATGACAATGTGGGACTAGACAGACTAGTCTTTATAAGACAATTCTCAATATGGAATACTCTAATCATGCTAAAGGGACCCCTGACCATTACGTCCAGTCGTGACCGACTCTGGGGTTGTGGCACTCATCTCGTTTTATTGGCCGAGGGAGCCAGCGTACAGCTTCCGGGTCATGTGGCCAGCATGACTAAGCTGCTTCTGGCGAACCAGAACAGCGCACGGAAACTCCGTTTACCTTCCAGCCGGAGCGATACCTATTTATCTACTTGCACTTTGACGTGCTTTCGAACTGCTAGGTTGGCAGGAGCAGGGACCAAGCAATGGGAGCTCACCCCGTCATGGGGATTTGAACTGCTGACCTTCTGATCGGCAAGTCCTAGGCTCTGTGGTTTAACCCACAGCTCCACCCCCTACAGTGCAATTCTTTGGCCAACAAATCTGTACAGTGTTACCGCTGGTTACATCCGCTTCATGTTACGTTCTTTCAGGTTACGTCCCGCGGCGACCCGGAAGTACTGGAAAGGGTTACTTCCGGGTTTCGCCACTCGCGCATGTGCAGACGTGCAAAATGACATCATGCGCATGCGCAGAAGTGGCGAATCATGACCACTGCGGGTTGCGCTCTTTTCATATTGTGAACGGGCCTCCGGAATGGATCCCATTCACAACCAGAGGTACCACTGTACAAGCAAGAATAACCCACACAGTGTTATTGTTTGATGCACTTTTCCTGATTTCAGATGATCAGTCAGCAGTGCAGAATCTGGGGCCACCACAACCAAAGAGGTCCAGAAAGTCCTTTCCCAAGTGGAACCCAGGGAACGGTTTGAAGAAATGCCCCCGTGATAAAGATGTCGAGACCACTGTGGAAGATGAAGAGGCTGATCTCCAGCAAGATCCTGCAACCTCTTCTGGCCTTAGAGAGGTGCGCACCCTTGGTGTCATGATGAGGTCCCATTCCTCTGAGCCAACCACTCCTCACTCTTCTACTCCCTTTCATGTATCGCCTCCTTTCCTAACAATATCTTCTGCTGGGGCATTCCCAAGAGGGGCAACGAGGCCAAGCCCAAGAACCAGAGGTAAAACATCTGTTATGATCAAAGAATGGAATGAGGGTGCAACAAGTGTACAGCAAATGTGAGATGATTACATTCATTTGTATTTCCAGCATATGAGCCTGCTAATTCATATTTCATGTGTTCTGAGTTGTGGGAAATTGCAGTCAAACAGAACTATGCATGAGTGCTAGTTAGTGCAACAGGGGGCCGGTCCACTGTCCCTCAGACCTTGTGGGGGGCCGGACTATATTTTGAAGGGGGGTGAATGAATGAATTCCTATGCCCCACAAATAACCCAGAGATGCATTTTAAATAAAAGGACACATTCTACTCATGTAAAAACACGCTGATTTCCGGACCGTCCATGGGCCAGATTTAGATGGCGATTGGGCTGGATCCGGCCCCCGGGCCTTAGTTTGCCTACCCATGAGCTAAGGCAGTGTTTCCCAACCTTTTTTGGGCAAAGGCACACTTGTTTCATGAAAAAAATCTCGAGGCACACCACCATTAGAAAATGTTAAAAAATTTAACTCTGTGCCTATATTGACTATATAAAAAGTACAGTGGTGCCTCGCAAGACGAAATTAATTCGTTCCGCAAGTCTCTTCGTCTTGCGAGTTTTTCGTCTTGCGATGCACGGTTTCCCATAGGAATGCATTGAAAATCAATTAATGCGTTCCTAGGGAAACCGCCTTCAGACCAGGTCCGGGGACAGTCTGTCCCCCGACCTCTTCTGAAGGCTGGGGGGGGGGACAAGGGCTTTTCTTCCCACTGCCAGCCTTCAGAAGGCTGTTCTGAAGGCTGGCGGTGGGAAGAAAAGCCCTTCTTCCCACCTCCCGCCCCGCAAGCTCCAGGGACAGGAGGGCTTTGCTGCCGACCGCCAGCATTTTAAAAGCCCCTGCTGTCCCGGGGCGATTTTAAAATGCTGGCGGGCGGGAGCGAAGTCTCCGCTGCCCCGAGGAGATTTTAAAATGCTGGGGGTCGGCAGCGAACGCTTCGCTCCCACCCGCCAGCATTTTAAGATCGCCCGGGGCAGCGGAGAAGTCTCCGCTGTCCCGGGAAGGCAGGCGGGGGAAGCAAAGACTTTTGCCCCCGCCTGCCTTCAGAAGAGGTCCAGGACCTCGTTCCGATGCCCGGCGGCGGGGTGCGAGGTTCCCGCCCCACCGCCCGGCATCGGGGCATCGTTCCGATGCCGGGCGGCGGGGGGAGAGGTTCCCGCCCCACCGCCCGGCATCGGGGCATCGTTCCGATGCCCGGCGGCGGGGTGCGAGGTTCCCGCCCCCCCCGCCCCGCTTCGGAGCACCGGGAGAAGCGATCTCCTCGCAGCCCCTTGCTTCAAAAGAGGTCCGGGGGCAGCGGGGAAGAAGCGCTGCGCTTCCCGCTGCCCCCGGACCTCTTTTGAAGCAAGGGGCTGCGGGGAGATCGCTTCTCCCCGCAAACCCTTGCTTCAAAAGAGGTCCGGGGGCAGCGCGAAGCGCTTCCCGCTGTCCCCGGACCTCTTTTGAAGCAAGGGGCGGTGGGGAGAAGCGATCTCGGGCGCCGCGGCGCGCAGGCGCGCTGCTCGCTCCTCTTTCCGCGCAGGCACCTTCTCTCGCTCTTTCGCCTCCTTTTCTTTCTCTCTCGATGGTCCGCCTACAAAGGAGCGAGGGAGGCGCCCGCCATGTTTGGATTTGCATCCAGCAGGAGATGCCGCCGCCGCCCCGCCTCTCCCGCCTCCCTCCCACGGCACACCAGGCAAGGTCTCACGGCACACTGGTGTGCCGCGGAACACCGGTTGGGAAACACTGAGCTAAGGCAATAGAGTTGAAATCCTAGGCTCAGCTAGGTCACTCTCCCTTTTCTCCAATAAGGGAGGATTGAAGAGTTCTTCCTGTTATCTCTCACTATATGCCATGTAGCTGATCAAGGAAGACGTGCGCCAAGCTTAGAGCATGTGTTTGAAGCTACACTAGTGGCCAAAATTGTGGAGACCTTTTGAGGAAAGTGTATGTCTGAGGTTTGATGGCTCATAACAGCTGATTGGCTCTCTAAACACTCCTGCTCATTGGCTACATTCAAATGAAATCAATCACCCTAAGCAAGTTGTGCTTCCTTTTTCTGGTTATTTGGCTATAACTTTTGATAGAATACAGATAACTGAACAAACTTTGTTGCATTACATTCTTCAATAAATTATCTTTCCATTGATTTACAATTTTATGGTATTACTCAAAATGAAGTGGTGTTATGAGCCATCAAACCTCAGAAATGCACTTTTCCCAAAAGGTTTCCACAAGAGTGTACTGCCTGTGTTTTCCTTGCTGCTGCTTGGATAAATTCATGAATCTGACCTTTGGCATGCTTTGTACGTGAAGCTTCGTACTTACTTTTAAACTTACTTCGCAGCATGGTCTATTCATTTTAAGCGGGTTAGAAGAAGAGGAGCGCTCTTTGCAAGTGGACTGATTGGGATAAAAAGATTTAACAGCCTACATTCCTAATGCTTCACAGTGCTGCTTAACTTTTAAGTGTTTAAACTCTGCTACTGGAGGCTCTCTTCTGCTGGAGAGTGAGTTTAACCCCATGATTTGAATCCAGGCACCCAGCTGATTCTTTTGCGATTCGCCCCCCACACATGGGTCACAAGGATCATATATTTTCCTCCCACATGAGTTGCATACAGAATTTCCTCCCATGCAAGGGCTTCCTTTCCCACTGTGGAGGAAACCCAATGCATACAAAGGAATGACCTTGTGGCTCTTCTCCCTCCATTGAAATGACTGATAAATTGTGGATTTGAGGGGCTTCCTGTGAGCATAGAAGCATATATGAGGTTCCTGAGCATGAAGATGCGTTTATCATTATTGAAAGATCTACATTAGCTCCCAGTACGTTTCTGAGCACAATTCAAAGTGTTGGTGCTGACCTTTAAAGCCCTAAACGGCCTCGGCCCTGTATACCTGAAGGAGATCTCCACCCCCATCATTCTGCCCGGACACTGAGGTCCAGTGCCGAGGGCCTTCTGGCAGTTCCCTCACTGCAAGAAGCCAAGTTACAGGGAACCAGGCAGAAGGCCTTCTCGGGAGTGGCACCCGCCCTGTGGAACGCCCTCCCACCAGATGTCAAAGAGAAGAACAACTACCAGACTTTTAGAAGACATCTGAAGGCAGCCTATTTAGGGAAGCTTTCAATGTTTAACAGACCACTATATTTTAATACTTTGTTGGAAGCTGCCCAGAGTGGCTGGGGAAACCCAGCCAGATGGGCAGGGTATAAATAAATTATTATTATTATTATTATTATTATTATTATTATTATTATGAATTACATTTGGAGCTGACTCTACAGTAACATTAGACTGGATCTTCTCCTCAGTATCTCTGTCAAAGAAATCAGAAAATCACACATCAAAATGGATACCTAAATGCTGTTGACTCCTTAGAAGACCATCACTTTAATGTGGTGGTCATAAATGTATTGGTTGCACTTAGAACAACAAAGGGGTTTTCATCTGCCGTGTTTAATTTTACATAATCTTTCCTTATCCTATCTTCTTTTTTAGATTACACTAACATAGCAACTAGGAGGCGGTCTGATGATTCTCTGGCCCAATGTCAGAAACATATCTTCATAAACAGGTAATGTATCCCCCCCCCAAAAAAAAACCCAAATTGTACAAATGTGTCATGGTATACGGATCAAGCATTTTCATTTTCATTAGGAGTAGGGGTTGGGGAGAAGTTCAATTTGGTTCACGTTTAAAGGCCAACCTATGTAATCCACACTTTCTGAAACTATACGTAAACCGCTACACAGCCATCATTTGAAATTTGCACTTCTCTAAATTTTGCAATGCCGTTCTCCGTCCAAGTACAAAAATGCATATACTACTACTACTAATAATAATAATAATAAATTTTATTTATATCCCGCCCTTCCCAGCCGAAGCCGGGCTCAGGGTGGCTAACAACAATCAAATAATCATGCAATCAAATAATCCAACATTCTAAAAATATTTCATTATAAAAATTAATTAAAATCAAGTTGATGGCAACCATTAAGCAAAATTCTGTGCAGGTTGCCAGAGGAGGGAGTACTAGGGTAAAGTGTACCTAAAAATGCATATATTAATGAAAGAACACAAAAATGCATTGTATAAGGGAAAACTGCTTTGAAGGAATGTATCTCTTAGGCAAATTTTGCAAAGAAATGTGGAAACATTAACAGAGGAGAAATGAGAATCCAAAACTGACAGATTCACCCATCCCTAATTAGGAGTGCAATTCAGTTCCTGGCAAAATGTGTTAAGAGGATTTTAAGTTGAGCGGTGAATGTGCACGATCACCAGCCATTGTGCACATTCACCAGCCCTCGTGGAGAATGTGCACATAATCCTTCTATGGAGAGGTAATTGTGCACATTTCCTGGTCAATATACACAAACAGGCCTTGGAGGATGTGCATATGGTGAATAGATTTTGTTTACACTTGGGAGAAGAAGATGGTTAAAGAATATTTTGCCCAGCTAGAGATGAAAGCAGGTGAGCTGCATAATGTACAGGAGGGTTGTGCTAAGACACAAGTGGGGAACCTCAGACCCAGAAGCTGAATGTGGTCCTGGCAGCCACTCTGTTTGGCCCTTGAGACTTTCCCTAGGCCCCACACCCTTCCCAGGCCACATACCCTTCTCGCTCTGTTATGCAGCCTCCTTGGGTGTTTTTGACTGCTTGTAATGCATTAATAGAATCTGATATAATGTCTCATGCATGGAAAGATAAGTGTGTGTGTGTGTGTGTGTGTGTGTAGACACTAACCAAAAAGGGGGAAAAATACATTTGCTTTTCTGCCCAAGTTTGCCTCCAGTTTCACCCATCACTGTCAGCTCTTCACACACACACAAAATGAAACAAAACCGTATAATCTTCTCTTGGTCTAAAGATAGTGGGTTGTTGCTGTTTTTTAATGAACTCTGGAGTCACTTGTTTCAGCTATGTTTGTTCTTCTAGCTGTGACAAGTCAAAGGACACCAATTCTCTGGAAATGGATGGCTTTGAGGTGGCTCAGAAAGTCTTCAGTGCTTGTGAAATGGAAAGGTAATCTGGCAGAGAAGAGACCCATCTGCCCCTAATTGCATTTCTAGTATCTTGCGGGAATATAATGGGATATAGATTAGACATGCCTGGAAACCTAATAGCAATTTTCAGGTCCACAAACTCACCTGGCTTTTCCATTGGATGGATTCTAGCTGGAGTGTCCAGCATTGCTCGTGGTGTCAGAGAAGTGAAATATTTCAGAATCACATACCAGCCACTTACCAGGTGGGTTCCTAACCCAAACGCTATTGTTTCCCTTCTGGCAAGAACTACGTAGGGCAGTTCCAGCAGTGGACTGTGACACCCCTATGTTTAATTCTTCATAACACTTAGGTCAGAGTTGAGTAACCCTTTTCAGTCTCAGGGTCAAATCCTCAGCAATTTCTCATAACATTCAGAACTGCTGGGCTGAAGTACAAGCTGAAAAAGTCAATCAGTAATTAAAAGGTCTGATATAAAAATGTCAGCAGCTGAAATTTTCCTCATAACTGTATTTCCAGATTAGAACAGGCTTCCCTGTTTAATTTGTCCCAGTCACACAGCTGTAAAGGCGCAATGCGCCATTTGCTTTCTTCCTATCCCTGTACTTGTTCTTGGAAGCTGCTCCTGTTAGAAGAGAGCAAAACTCTTCAGCAAGGAAAATACAGGAAATGCCTCATGTTCCTTCCTTCCAATTGCTTAGTAGCAGCGAGTGTGAATAAGTATTGTTCAAAACAGCAGCACCTTCTTAACTGCCTAATTAGCCAGAGAAGGTTGCCACCTCATTTTGTTTCCTAACTTTCTTTATATTTCATAATTTACTTATTTATTTCATTAAATTTATACATCGCTTGATTATAAAGAAACCTCAAAGAGGTTTACAAAAAGATAAAACATGAAAATCAATTAAAAAAATCACAACCATACTTTAAAAGAGATGCACATTAAAATACCAAACAGAATAAAATTATCTCAACTTTCTAAGCATCTGGGTAGGCTTGTCTAAACAGGAATGTTTTTAACAGGCACTGAAAAGAGTACAAGTTACAGGTAGGTAGCCGTGTTGGTCTACCGTAGTCAAAACAAAATAAAAAAAATCCTTCCAGTAGCACCTTAGAGACCAACTAAGTTTGTTATTGGTATGAGCTTTCGTGTTCATGTATCTGAAGAAGTGTGCATGCACACAAAAGCTCATACCAATAACAAACTTGTTGTTGTTTAGTTGTTTAGTTGTGTCCGACTCTTCGTGACCCCATGGACCAGAGCACGCCAGGCACTTCTGTTTTCCACTGCCTCCCACAGTTTGGTCAAACTCATGCTGGTAGCTTCGAGAACACTGTCCAACCATCTCGTCCTCTGTCGTCCCCTTCTCCTTGTGCCCTCCATCTTTCCCAACATCAGGGTCTTTTCCAGGGAGTCTTCTCTTCTCATGAAGTGGCCAAAGTATTGGAGCCTCAGCTTCAGGATCCATCCTTCCAGTGAGCACTCAGGGCTGATTTCCTTCCGAATGGATAGGTTTGATCTTCTTGCAGTCCATGGGACTCTCAAGAGTCTCCTCCAGCACCATAATTCAAAAGCATCCATTTTTTGGTGATTTAGTTGGTCTCTAAGGTGCTACTGGAAGGAATTTTTTTATTTTGAAAAGAGTACAGTGAAGGTGAATGCTTGATCTCAATAGGCAGGGAGTTTCAATGTGCAGGTGCTGCCACATTAAATGACTGAGTTTTTATACATGAGGAAAGGGTATTATGTAGCATGTGTAGTGGTGCCAATTCCGTTTATCAAAGTGGTCAAGTGGGCGCATGTGGGGTAAGGTGATATATAATTGACTTCCCCCTTTTTGTTAATGAAAGCTAAGGCTCTAGACCTCCAGCTGGAGGTAGCAGGGGGGAGGGAATGAATGTGAAGATGAACTAGAAAAAGTTCAAAGTTCTACCCCAACATGAACTTCCTTCACCTTTAGTTCACCTGGCAATTATGGGGACTACTTCCAGAAGTAGCTCTGAGGTTTTTGCATTACATTCAACTGAACTAGTTAATTTCAGACATCTAGAGGGCACAAGGTTCAGTAAAGCTGACTTAGATGGCTTGACAAAAAGAGAAAGAGAGAGAGAGAGAGATGTTTTTGGACAATGGATTTGTCCATAGCTATTAGTGATGACAGCTGAATGGAAGCTCCATTAGAAGCAGAATGTCACACTGTGTACCAGGTGCTGAGGACTGGAGACAGAGAATAAGAAAAGGCTGTCATGTTCATTCTCTGTCTGTGAGTGCCCCAGACATCTGATGTTCTAAATTGATGCTATAAAGGGAGTGCTAGACTGGAGGGCCTTTATCTGATTAATCAAGTTAGTTCTTAAGTGCTAAAAAGAGTTTGTTGCTATTGCTGCTATTGTTGTTGTTGTTGTTGTTTAGTCGTGTCTGGCTCTTTGTGACCCCATGGACCAGAGCACGCCAGGCACTCCTGTCTTCCACTGTCTCCCGCAGTTTGGTCAAACTCATGCTGGTAGCTTCGAGAACACTGTCCAACCATCTCATCCTCTGTCGTCCCCTTCTCCTTGTGCCCTCCATCTTTCCCAACATCAAGGTCTTTTCCAAGCAGTCTTCTCTTCTCATGAGGTGGCCAAAGTCTTGGAGCCTCAACTTCACGATCTGTCCTTCCAGTGAGCACTCAGGGCTGATTTCCTTCAGAATGGAGAGGTTGGATCTTCTTGCAGTCCATGGGACTCTCAAGAGTCTCCTCCAGCACCAGAATTCAAAAGCATCAATTCTTCGGCGATCAGCCTTCTTTATAGTCCAGCTCTCACTTCCATACATCACTACTCGGAAAACCATAGTTTTAACTATACGGACCTTTGTTGGCAAGGTGATGTCTCTGCTTTTTAAGATGCTGTCTAGGTTTGTCAATGCTTTCCTCCCAAGAAGTAGGCGTCTTTTAATTTTGTGGCTGCTGTCACCATCTGCAGTGATCATGAAGCCCAAGAAAGTAAAATCTCTCACTCCCTCCATTTCTTCCCCTTCTATTTGCCAGGAGGTGATGGGACCAGTGGCCATGATCTTCATTTTTTTGATGTTGAGCTTCAGACCATATTTTGCGCTCTCCTCTTTCACCCCTCATTAAAAGGTTCTTTAATTGCTCCTCACTTTCTGCCATCAAGGTTGTATCATCTGCATATCTGAGGTTGTTGATATTTCTTCCAGCAATCTTAATTCTGGCTTGGGATTCATCCAGCCCAGCCTTTCGCATGATGAATTCTGCATATAAGTTAAATAAGCAAGGAGACAATATACAGCCTTGTCGTACTCCTTTCCCAATTTTGAACCAATCAGTTGTTCCATATCCAGTTCTAACTGTAGCTTCTTGTCCCACATAGAGATTTCTCAGGAGACAGATGAGGTGATCAGGCACTCCCATTTCTTTAAGAACTTGCCATAGTTTGCTGTGGTCGACACAATCAAAGGCTTTTGCATAGTCAACGAAGCAGAAGTAGATGTCTTTCTGGAACTCTCTAGCTTTTTCGATAATCCAGTGCATGTTTGCAATTTGGTCTCTGGTTCCTCTGCCCCTTCGAAATCCAGCTTGCACTTCTGGGAGTTCTCGGTCCACATACTGATTAAGCCTTGTAGAATTTTAAGCATAACCTTGCTAGCGTGTGAAATGAGTGCAATTGTGGGGTAGTTGGAGCATTCTTTGGCACTGCCCTTCTTTGGGATTGGGATTGCTGCTATTATTCTGATTTATTACCCACCCATCACCCCAAGGTCACAGGTGGGACACAACCAATTTAAACACAACATTAAAAACAGATTGCAATCACCAGAATAGGATGGGTGGTGGAAATATACATCTCAAGTGTCAAAGGCCAGGGTAAAGATGTGTGTCTTCAGCACGTGATGAAAACTATATAGTGAAGGTGTCGTGCACCTTCTTCTCCATGGAGAAGGAGTTCCACAACTTAAAGGCTGCCACAGAATATGCCCTCTCTTGGGCCACCACCACCCCAAGATTGTGACGGTCATGGAACAACCAAGAAGCCCCTTCTGCTGATCTCAACACCTGAGAGGGTCTGTAGAAAAGAAGGCAGTCTTTCATACATTTAGGTCCTACATCGTTTAGGGTTTTGAAGACTAATGTGAACACCTTGGACAAGAAAAGAATATGGAGGACTGAAGGCAGCAGATGAGAGCCCCTTGAGTTGCTCCTGGAAATGAACTGGCAAGGTTCATTTCACCAAGGTTGCTACACAGGTGCTGAGATACTGAGTGCATGGAAGAGTAGCTCTGGACATCCTAATGCACAAACCAGCAGTCCAATTTACACAATTCAATGGCTAAACTTTTTGTAAAGCCATGGGAGGGGGAAGCAGCACTGAGACTGCAGAGGACCCCCCCCCCCTGAAGCTGCTGCTTGCTTTGGATAGGAAGCTTCACTCCTGGTGCAAATAGCACATGCAGAGGTGATAGCAAGCAAAGGCTACCCTACATTAGATTACTGTCATCACAAGTCCTTTTCTGACCCAAGAACATGCAAAGAAAAATGCTAGATCAGACCAAAGGACCATCTAGTCCAGTATCGTGCTTCCCATAGTGGAGAACCAGCTGGGAAGCACAGAAGCAGGAGATGACGGCAACAGCTCTCTCTCAGTGTTGTTCCCCGGGGTCTTATATTCAAAAGCAGGCTGTCTCTGACCGGGGAGGAAGACAGATAGCGAACAAGTGGCCACAGTGTCCTTCTGGACTGGGTGGGTGCATTCTGAAACATTTCATTGATGCAATAAAAGTGCATGCATGGTGGATTTCTACTGGACAATCCACATATCATTCTGCTTTATCAGCTGTTCTGTAGGTGGTCTGTAAGTGTTCTGTAGGGACACAGGTGGCGCTGTGGTCTAAACCACAGAGCCTCGGGCTTGCTGATCAGAAGGTTGGCAGTTCGAATCCCTGTGACAAGGTGAGCTCCTATTGTTCGGTCCCTGCTCCTGCCAACCTAGCAGTTCGAAAGCACATGAAGGTAAATGGCATTTCTGTGTGCTGCTCTGGTTCACCAGAAGCACCTTAGCCATCCTGGCCACATGACCCGGAAGCTGTCTGCGGACAAACGCCTGCTCCCTCGGGCAGTAAAGCGAGATGAGCGCCGCAACCCCAGAGTCGTCTGTGACTGGACTTGACGGTCGTGGTCCCTTTACTGTTACCTTTAGGTGATATATAAGCGCAATTAACAAATAAGTGAATGCTTTACACATTACTGCTGTCTATAATACAACAAAAGTGGGTCGGGGGGAAACACCCCTGGAACAATTGGATGATTAAAAAGCAACAAGATTTCAGTAGGTAGCTATGGGACAACTGGAAACAAGGGCAGTATGTCTACCTGGAAGTTTTGCGGGTGCAAATCATATTGAAAGGGAGATTGTGTATAACTGTCCCAATACCATATTGAGCACAGATCATCATGAATGCACAATGAACAGGATGTCTGGGGGGGCCCAATGATAGCCTCATCACCCATGAATTTGTCTACCCTCCTATTCCCCCCCCCCTTTTAAAGCCATCCGTGTTGTTGCTTGACTCCTCTAGGGAAGAAAAGATCGAGCAACTTGAACAAATGGTCCTCAGCCTCCAGAGAGAAGTCCTCTCCTTGAAGCGGAAAGTGCAGTACCTGGAAGCCTCCTCCTTTAAGGAGCAAGAGCCCACACGCCATCCCTGCGAGGCGTCCGAAATCTTCAATGGGTACACCAGGGGGCAACTCAAAGAGGCCATCCGGTTTGACCAGAAGATCAGCACCGCTTGCAAAACACTCCTCTACAAGCTCTTTAGTTCTGACTATATACAGAGCCATTCCATCACAGGGAGGCGGGGAAACACCTTCCGGGAGGCTAAGCCCATGATGGACGAGAGGTGCATCAAAATCATCAGGGTTTTGCTGAAGCAGAAGTTTGGGGACCATCTGAGTGACACGGTGATCACAGAGAAGATCCAGAATGTGCAGAAAGCTCTGAGGCAGAAATTCAAGACGGAATGTCTCTGAAATGCAACATCCCGTCTGCAGATGAGATGGGGGTTCCCTGCTACGTTATCATCAGCGTTGATCGGGGCCTTGGAGATGAAAGACGCCTACTGTTGACACCCCAGATCTTTGCTGTCTGATCTTGAAAGCCTTTCTGAAGCTGAAGCTGCTACCAACCTGTCATTGGGAATACGGATCTATTGCTTACCCTACGCAGAAGTGGAGCTAAGAGCTGTGAAGCAGGCAGTTTGCCATACGCACCAGCTCATAAACTGATTTCCATATGCTAGGAGACAGATGAGATGTTAGGAAGCAGGACACCACGTGAAGCTCAGCTGGTCATAAAGTGAGATCCACATGCTGGGAGCCAGATGAGACTGGAACCTCTTATAGAACAGCAATACAGTCCCAAACAATCTTTTCTAGGAATAGGGTCCATTGAACTCAGTAGGTCTTCTGAGTGGATAGGCATAGGATTATGCTTTCATTGATTTTGGATTGTATTCATTGTTTGTGTTTGCACTACCAAATTAGCATTCTGCCCTTCTCACTTTGTATGTCTTTTGCTCTCCCTCTCTCGCCTTCTCCATATTAAATGGCTCATAAATTTTCTATTTTATGTTGTTTTTTCCGTGTGTGTATGCAAACAAGAGCCCATTTATTATGGAGGCCTCAAAGAGCAATACGGTTTTTTTAATACCACGAGTACAGACTGTTCAGTAATTTTTATTTCTTTTCCCCCCCGTAGGAGCAAATGGCAGTCATTCATTTATATGGCAGGAAGTATAGAGGTGCACACAGAAAGCTCAATGGGTGGGGCTGGATGTGCTCCCTACCTCTGGAGAGATGCAGTACATGGGATGAAGAACAGGGCTACCTCTGCACTTGTGTGGTTAGGGATTTTAAAATTGCATCTATATCCAATCTTTTCCTCCAAGGAGCTCTCCTTCTCCCCATTTAACCCTCACAACAACTGTGTGAGGTAGGTTAGGTTGCGAGGCAGTGACTGGCTCAAAGTCACCCAGTGAACTTTATGCCCAAGTGGGGATTTGAATCTTGGCCTCCCAGGCCTTCGTCTGACACTCTAACTGCAACACCCCACTAGCTCCCTGGTTGTGGCAGGGAGCGGAAAACCTTAGCCCCGAATGTCAGTGTGGTGTAGTGGTTAAGAGCCGTAGACTCGTAATCTGGGGAACCGGGTTCGCTTCCCCGCTCCTCCACATGCAGCTGCTGGGTGACCTTGGGCTAGTCACACTTCCCTGAAGTCTCTCAGCCCCACTCACCTCACAGAGTGTTTGTTGTGGGGGAGGAAGGGAAAGGAGATTGTTAGCCGCTTTGAGACTCCTTCGGGTAGTGATAAAGCGGGATATCAAATCCAAACTCCTCATCTTCTTCTTCTTCAGGTTGAGTGTTTTCAGGTTACACTCCGCGACAACCCAGAAGTAACTGAATGCATTACTTCCGGGTTTCACCGCTCACACATGTACAGATGCTCAAAATGACGTCACACGCATGCGCAGAAGTGGCGAATCGTGACCCGCACACACGCAGACGCAGGTTGCATTCTGCTCAGGATGTGAATGGGGCTCCGGAACGGATCCCATTTGCATCCAGAGGTACCACTGTATAGGAAATGTAAAGATATGTAAAATCACACTGCTTTTTTTGAAAATGAAAATGCCAATAAATGAGTTTGACCAAGCTGCGGGAGGCAGTAGAAAACAAGAGTGCCTGGCGTGCTCATGTCCATGGGGTCACGAAGGGTCGGACACGACTAAACCACTAAACAACAACAACAAAAGAGAAAGGTCAGAGTCACCTCCATTGCTTTTCCTACTTTTGTTTCTGGTCTCACCGAATACTAGTTTGTGGCCCCCAGAAGGTAGCTCAGGAAGGAGTACGGCCTCCAGTCTGACCCCTACCCCTGTGGCCCAATAGGATTCGATGGGAGCCACTGAGAACTGACTCAGCCCTTATCTGCATGCCTTTGCATCTGCAGACCTCCACTCTGGTAGGCTTCTTGCGGACAAAGACATCTTGGGCTTTGAAAACATGACGAAACGAGAGAGAGAGAGATGAAGGAGACAGAGACTGGGGCTAGTCTAAATGTCAATTCATGGAGCTGAGAGTGACGCAGGAGAAGTGGGGGGAAGAGAGCAGGGCCAAGCTCCAGACAAACAGAGTTGAGCCTCGGGAGGTGCTAAAAAACATTATTTATATTCTAGGGCCCTCCAGTTAGCTTAATGCATTTCAAGTGACAGATAACCTTCTCCGGAAGCAACCAGAGAACACTTCAAAAAGACGTAATTTGATGGAAATTTATGCCATGACGCTATTAAAAAAAAATAAGGGTGTTCTTGCACAACTACATCGTGCCATTTGTATCAGGACTGGGGAACCTATGACCCTCCAGAAGATGTTTAGCTCCAGCTCTCATCAGCCCAGGTCAGCATGGCCAACGGTCAAGGTTGATGTGAGATAGAGTCCAGCAACATCTGGAAGGCCACATGAGGCTCCCCCAACCTGGTGCCCTCCAGCTTTTTTGGCACTACAGCTTCCATCAGCCCCAGACAGCATGACATATGTACATTAAATACATCATTATTTATTAACTTTCTATAGTTCCCTTCATCCGAAGATCACAGGGCAGTTTACAATATAGAATCATAGAATTGTAGAGTTGGAAGGGACCACAAGGGTCCTCTAGTCCAACCCCCTGCAGTGCAGGAATCTTTCCCTCAACATGGGGCTCAAACCCACAACAACAACAACAACAACAACAATTTATTATTTATACCCCGCCCATCTGGCTGGGTCTCCCCAGCCACCCTGGGTGGCTTCCAACAAAGTATTAAACTACAGTGGTCTGTTAAACATTAAAAGCTTCCCTAAACAGGGCTGCCTTCAGATGTCTTCTAAAAGTCTGGTAGTTGTTCTTCTCTTTGATATCTGGTGGGAGGGCGTTCCACAGGGCGGGCACCACTACCGAGAAGGCCCTCTGCCTGGTTCCCTGTAATTTTGCTTCTTGCAGTGAGGGAAGCGCCAGAAGGCCCTCAGCGCTGGACCTCAGTGTCCGGGCAGAACAATGGAGGTGGAGACACTCCTTCAGGTATATTGGATCGAGATTAAGAATAAAATACATAAAATAAAGTAAGAGTCTCGTGCTCTTCTGACTGAATACATTCTCTCTCTGTCTTATTCACTCTCTATCTATTTGTAGGCAGAGACTGATGGGTGGAAAGGGAGTAACAAGACGTCATCTTCCATTCTGCCCTGTGTTTATCACATGCAAGACTGTTCCTATACCACCAGGTTTGTCTTCTGCCGAAAAGTACAACATTTGCCTCACTGCGCTGCGGTGAAATTACACAGCTCAGCTTAATTAGTTTCATAAATTATACTTTCATTGTGTTATTCCACCCCATTCATTTCCATGCAAAGGAAACACAATGTAAAAGGGGGAAGATATAATCAATTGCATCATCATTTGTGGACTGAAAGCAGCGACATGTGAACATCAATTGTGGAATGATCCACTGGATTAATTTCAGTCCTGGACATGGGGTGACTAAGCGGACATCGTCAATTTCTGCTCCCATTTCCATTGGAAGTTCCCACCTCCCTTACATGCAAAATGTTAAAAAGAGATTCTTGAAATAAAGATGTATTATGACCAGCAAAGCTTACTACAGATGTCCTATTCTTCCAACAGTGATCAGCCTTTTCATTGCTGAATAACCAGTGATCTCAAATAAGGATTGTGATGTTGGCCTTATATGGTGTCTCACCCACTGAAATACTAATTCTGAATAATACTTGCACATTGCTTAAGCTAAGTAGCACCAACATCAGAATCACCATACATTCTTCTTCTTTGGCGATCACTTGTAGCCGAGTAAGATTGTCTTCCATAAACATGGTTTTAACAGTGAAGCCATAAGTGACAGTGGAGGCCAATTCTGGATCCACACATCCTTCCACAGTGGGGACATAGGTTTCCGGGCAGGAAGAAGAGAAGAAGAGTTTGGATTTGATATCCCGCTTTATCACTACCCGAAGGAATCTCAAAGCGGCTAACATTCTCCTTTCCCTTCCTCCCCCACAACAAACACTCTGTGAGGTGAGTGGGGCTGAGAGACTTCAGAGAGTGTGACTAGCCCAAGGTCACCCAGCAGCTGCATGTGGAGGAGCGGAGACGTGAACCCGGTTCCCCAGATTACGAGTCTATCACTCTTAACCACTACTCCCACACTGGGAGTTGATCACGGTGAGGATTTGCCAAGCGTGCCTTCCTCTTAGCACGTTTCTCCCTTGCATCCTGAGTTCGAGCGTCTTCAAAGCCCATGACACCTTTGGTAAGGGCTGTTCTCCAATTTGATTGCTTGCAGGTCAGTGTTTCCCAGTTGTCAGTGTTTACACTACATTTTTATTTTTATTTTAGATTTGCTTTTAGAGAGTCTTTAAAACTCTTTTGCTGACCACCAGCAGTATGCTCTCCATTTTTAAGTTTGGAATAGTTACTTTGGAAGATGATAATCAGGCATCCGCACAACATGACCAGTCCAACGAAGTTGATGTTGAAGAATCATTGCTTCGACACTGGTGATCTTTGCTTCTTCCAGTACACTGGCATTAGTTCGCATGTCTTCCCAAGTGATGTGTACAAATTTTTCGGAGACACCGTTGATGGAATCTTTTGAGGAGTTGGAGTTTACAATGTGGCCCAATTTAGCCACAGGGCTCATCCCTGTAGAAGCTTTACGTTACCTTAGGGATGAGAATGCCTGTGGCCCCCCAGATGCTGCAATTGGCCTGGTTGCTACCTGGACCTTTTAGCAAGCCATCTGGGACATTCAGATAAGCATTGGGTCAGTTGGCTAAGACAAACTGCTGCTTTCATTCTGCAGGCTGCCTGGCTCTCCACACATGGCTGCTCCCCGGAGCTTTCTGCCTCTCTATCTGTCTTGGAGAGCGGGAAATATGTTTAAGAGGCCACTGCTGGCAGTTCCGGCCCAGGCTTGTTCATTTCCCCAGGTTACCATGCTTCGCAGACTGCTGGATTTAATTGGAAACATCATTGTCTGCGGACTTGCTTGGGCTCTGTTCCTGTGACCAGCTCTGGCTCACGTGTCGGGGGCTGAGTCCTGCCAACAGGCCACTGTGAATGTGGTGCACATTGAAACTTTATTGAGAGACTTATTCTTCTTCTTTGGCGATCACTCATAGTAAGATTGTCTTCCATGAACACAGACTTAACAGTCCGTAAGTGACTGTGGAGGCCAATTCTGGAACTACCTGTCCTTCTGTAGTGGGGACATAGGTTTCTGGGCAGGAGTTGATCACGATGTGGATTTGCCAAGCGTGTCTTCCTCTTAGCATGTTTCTCCCTTTCATCCTGAGTTCAAGTGTCTTCAAAGGCCATGACACCTTTGGTAAAGGCTGTTCTCCAATTGCAGCACTCGCAGGCCAGTGTTTCCCAGTTGTCGGTGTTTATTCTACATTTTTTAATATTTTCCTTGAAAGAGTCTTTGAACCTCTCTTGTTAACCACCAGCATTACGCTTTCCATATTTAAGTTTGGATTAGAGTAGTTGCTTTGGAAGATGATAATCA